ACGTCAGGGAAATGCCTTACTACTCGTACATCATCCACAATGATAAGAGTATCTACATTTAATACCACGTGAGCCAAATACCCATGACAGCCTTTCCTCAATAACCTTTTAGCCCTCACGGCAAAAATAACGCCGTGTCTCACTCCACTACGCTCGCCTACGAATGTGACCATAGGCAAGCCCGGATGATGGAAAGTGACTATCTTTCCGTAACAATCCATCTTGGCACGATTGTAATGTAGCAAATCCATGCCCAAAATAACATCAAAATCAACGATATCTAACGGAACGAGATCAGCTAGCATAACGACATCCTCCACCAACATGGGACATCCTGGATACACCTAGCTAACATAACATGTCTCACCTCTAGGCATTAAAAACTCTAACCCATACCCGAGAAGTGTGGGATGAGGTTGGGTCGTCTGAGCAAACGTATGAGAAATAATAGAGTGTGTAGCACCACAATCAATTAATACTCTAGCAAAATGGCCAAGGATATTTAACGTACCCATAATCAGATTGGGTTGTTCTAAGCATCTTGTAAAGTGATATGGTGAACACGGCCTTGTTGTTGTTGTCGTCTTCCACGACCTCTGTTAGCTTGATTTCTATGTCCTCGTCCCTAACCAGGCTGGTTAGGCTGCTATGATGATCTTACACTGCTAGAAGCAACTTCAACATTTTGTGACTGTCCTCCTAGATACCAATGTGATCTACCAGCTAAATACGAAGGATATAGAGTATAACCTTTTAGGTACTGGGGATAACCTCCCTGATGATACGGGTCATGTGGATACTGATACTGTCTTTTAGAATATGAAGCTATATCACCCTGATAGTGGTATGCTTCACCATAACTCGTCTGGGTATAACCACTAGACCCCGGAATCTGCTGGATAGAAACTAGTGGTGGCAAGGCAGATGGTTGGGATTTTTGCTGGTTTTGTGGGCACTGGATAGCCTGATGTCCCATTTGGCCACAAATAAAACATCCTTTGTTGCCTTGCCTGCACTCCCCAAAATGTCGACTGTTACATCTATGGCAAAATGGACCACCAGAACCACTAGAGCCTCTCTGTCCTTGGAAGCGAGAACTACTTGAATGGCCACCCATCCGCTGTGGGTGTAACTCAAACCTCCACTAGAAGAACTGGAACTAGTACAACTTCTCTAAAAACTCTGCGTCTTACGAGGTCCCTGTGATGACTAGCCCTTATCTTTATTATTATTTTTCTTCTGGTTACTATCTTTTTCTTCCTCTTCCTCGGTATCACTGGGCATATTTTCAAAATCCTCAACCCGTAGTAAAATTTCATAAAACTCCTGATATGTAGCACATGAAGTCATGGTCGCCATAGAATGCCACTTTTTTCTAGTACCCAATCTAAAACGGCGAAGCATCTTTGCCGGATTTGCAGCAATCTCAGGGTAATAAAGAGATAGATTAGTGAACTTCCGATAATACTCATTAGCTGACATCTTTCCTTGTTTTAGGTGCGTGAATTCTTGCTTATTACGATCTATATACTCTGGGGGTACAAATCTCTTATGGAATAACCGTTTAAAAATCTCCCAGTCTGCAGCTTCCTCTGGTGACAACAAAAAAGATTCCTACCTCCACCCGGATGCAGGCTCCTCACCCAAAAACCAAGTGGTCGTCTCGACCCATCTATCCTCAGGAAGATTTCTATGGCTCTGCATTAATTGAAAAGTTTTCTCGATATGATTGAGCCAACGCTCGGCTCCCTCAGGCCCCTCAGTACCCATAAAATTATTCAACTTTAGATTATACACAGTCTCCAGGGAAGTCCTCTAGGAGGACGAAGTGAAGACTGAATGTCATTGGTAATTGCTTCCCTAAGTTGAGTAATATCGGGGAAACTAGACTCAGCTGAAGTACGTGGCTCCCTACGAGGCGGCATAGTTCTGACATAAGACATCAAAATAATTAGAATACTCACAAAATATGCAGGACTGCCAAGCCTAGGCTCTGATACCAAACTGACACACCCCGACCCCAATCGAGGCATGTTGGCCGTCATGTGAGGGTGACGTAGCCATGTGCGTGTGCGGAAGTGAACGTGATATAAAAATATGGATAAATAAAAACCAACAAACTAAATTACACTAGGCTAGCATATCAGTGCGAGTGAAAATGTTAAAGTGCACATACACACATAACCAGAGCGTATGTATCAGAATGCAGTTAAGAAGTCTAATTACTAATTATACAGATCATAAAGGAAACCCTACACTGATGGGTGTCTGTCAAAACCGCTTGTGGAGTCCTCGTGAGCCACCAGTAATAACTTCTATCTAGAACCTGGAGGGGCACAAAACAGAAAACGTGAGTGGGCAAAAACAAAACTTTTCAAAACAATTTATCTTTCCAAAAATAATAACCCCTCACCGTAAAACCTATATAATTTCCCAAAAAATAGTACTACGTACGTATATAAGAACCATGCTCGAGAATAGAAAAACCCACATGTATGCCATGTTAATAATCTCCACAATGCATAAGTAAGCCAAGTGAAATGAATCAATATAAAATGACATATCAGCCAGAGTCACCTAACGTGACCTGTTCAGTTGAGTCTATAACCCATCAATCAAATCCTGCACACGAGTCGGAACCACCTAATGTGGTCTGTACAACAGACTAGGTGTAAATAAATACGCTCATATGCTAAAATATAAAGCAAATATGACATGGCATTTTAAAACGTAAAAACCATTTACAACTATTTCTGGGAAAACGTAAGGCATATATACGTATATATAGAAAATCAAAAGACCGCTCACTAGTATGTAGCCGGGTCGTAAACCCCTAGTCTTGCCTGGCTGCGCTCGTCCTCCAGAAACGTCTCATCTATATGTGAAACCACTATTTTAACGTCAATTTTAAGCACATAACCAAAACCATGTAATAATTTCTCATACGTTGCTCAATTGAGGTGTTTGAATATACCATTGTGGCCTACTCAACACCACGAGCATCCCCATATTTTTAGAATAAATTTCCGACATCCTATGCGCCCTTACGCGCTGGCCAAGGCACGGCCACACTCGCCAACCACGCGCAGGCATGTGCCTGGCACATGGACGAAATCTTTAACGGCGTTAGGGAATATTCCGTTAAATAGTAGCGAGGGATTGGCCAACAAGGATAGAAAAAGAAAGGATTTTTAGGTATGTGCACATCCAGATTGGGCAAGGGAAAGAATGGCGGTGCAATTGGTTTCCAAAAACAATTTAAGCGCAAATGTTAATTGGACCCAACAAGATGGGAACCTAAATTATTGGTTTAGATTTTTGTTTCCTTATTCTGGCTAGGGGTGGGCACTTAGAACCGAAAACTGAAATCGAAACACGAACCAAATCGAACCGTACCGAACAGTTTGGTTTTGCGGTTTTGAAACGGTTTTTGTTTTGAAACCGAACCGCAACGTAGAAAACGGTTTGGTTTTAGTTTTGACTTTTAAAAACCGCACTGGAACCGAACTGCACCGCAAATATTAATAAACATTTAATTAAATGTCCATATTATATTTCATGTTTTAATTGGTTGTTTGTTAGAATCCATACACTTAGTATGGACTCAACCACACTAGAATATCATCATTCATCACTTTCTTTCGTTCATTAACTCGAAGGACCTTTGTTATTTTATACCATCACACACACACACACACATATTTGTACAAGGGTGGACTAATCTTGTTATCAAGAGTCGAACAATGATCTAATGAAGTTCACACATTTGAAACATGATATCACATATTCTAGTATGAAAGTTTCGCTCACATTTAATGAATTCAAAGTTATTCAACTTGTTTTATGTTATACCTTGTACGGGACACCCTTTTGTTGCATAAACATATTTTAACATCACAACTGCATGCAACATGCTAATTGTTTAGATAACAATGTCTTTTTCCTATTGCTACTGGGAAATGCTTATTAATATGTTAAATTGCAAATTGTACATTTTTTCTTAAAAACCAAACCGAAACCGTTTGAAACCACACCTAACCGAACCGCAAAAAATTTCAATTTTGGTTTTGGTTTCACTCAAAACCGCACCGAACCAAACCGTGCCCACCCCTAATTCTGGCTCAGTTACATTCTAACGTTCGTAACTTTCTCGTTACGACTCCGATTCGAGCCTAACTCTCGTCAATGGCCTCGTGACGACGCATACAATTTAATCACGTCATCGAGAAAAATAATGTGATACAATATACATATGTCCACGTCACTAAGCCTCAAGGGCATACTCGTCATTTCCACACATTCGAGGATAAAGTCTATATATTAATTTGGGATGGGTCATCATAGACAGTTTGAAAAGTCTTGTTACATATATCAACCACCGCTTAACCGTGCACATGGAAAACATGATACTCGCTGTCGTTATTTCACGGACATGCATGACTATTAACGTCCTCTAAGTTTATTTACCTTCTAAGTATTAATTCATGTTACAAACAACCCATTTATTCCATAAATCATTGATGAATGAACTTGGAACTAAACACCCTACCTTACTATGTCTGTCGAAGCTTTAGTCACCGGAAAAAATGGAACTTTTTGACCAAAATAGAAAATAAGGTACAAAACCTAGCTCATTCTTCTCACCTTTCTCTCACATCCTTTTGTTCGAAATCAGAGGTATGAGGTGAACCCAAAGCCTAGCTCACTCTTCTCACCTCTCTTTGGACTTCCATCTCTTTGAAATCGAAGCTCAGAGATTTGAGGAAGGGAGAGAGAGTAGAGAGAGATAAATAAAAAAAATGGGGGAGAGACAATAAGGAATAACCTATTTATATGGGGTATTATAGTAATTTTGATTTTGTGCATGGTGTTCATGACTTGTGCATTACCGGTTTGCCCTATTTCTATCCCAAGATTAAGAAATTGTCCTATTTTTAGGTATTTCCCAAAATATTATGACTTTGACAAAGTAGTTGTATCTATATATATAAAGGGAGAAGACCAGTTTGGTGAAGCATTCAGAAATGCCAAGAAAGCTCCTTTATTTTCTTCACAATTGAAATCCAAAAAAAAAAAAATGAGGACAAACTGGTAAAAAAACCAAATTCATCATCCCAAAGGGTAGTTTGATAACAGTTCTCACTCTTTCACAACTGATACAACACGTTCCCACTCTTTCACAACTGCCCGTGCCAGTTTGCATCAAACTCCGCTCCTCCCTCTTAACCTTTGGCCAACGTAAAACTCCATTCATTTTCTTCCTTCACTAGTTCTTCAATCATCTCACACGTATTCAAATATTATTTTTGTTTCCTTTTTTTTTTTTTTTTGCAGTTTTAATTTATTTGGGAATTTTTTTAGTCCCCTAGATTCTTCTATTGCGACTCAATTCCGAGATCTGATCGTGGTTTTTTGAATTGCAGCATAAAGAGGTGATGAGGCTTTTCAACCCATTTACAAAGGATCTCAATGCCATTGGGTGTTTGAGTGGTATTTTCGTTTCTATTGTCTCTGTCTTTTTTATCATATCAATTCACAGGCAACAACCAAGTCCTCTCTCCTAAATCGTCCTAATTAGTCCCTTCATAAACTCCTTTTATTTGGATTTTACAGCAATCTCATTATTCATTTAGCCTATATAAGAGCTGTATTTACACCGGCTCATTGTTCACAACCGTTTGGTAATTGTTCCATTGGTAATTCTGATGTGAATCTTTCATATTCATAACATGTTAATAGCACATGGCATGGCCGTTGACATCTATTGTAGTTTTTTATTTATTTTAGTTTTACAGAGGTGCAGCCGCTGAGTCCCGACCACGAAGCGGACAAAGTTGTAACGACAGTATAAAAAGGTACTTCTACAAAATTTCAAAGGATTCTTAACCTCACACCTCTCTTCCGTCCTATTCATGTATGAAATATTTTTCAATTTGATTCTTTCATTGTTTGGGTGGTTTAGTTTAGTTCTTGATTGATTGGGAATGGTTGGATATTAGTTACTTCCATTATTGCGTTACAACTTTTTTGTTATTTTCTTATGTTATTAGATATTTCAGTTTCTGATTGCACAAATCTTGCAATTGACCTTAATTTGTAGAAATGTGCCGATTCACTCTTTTCATTCTCTTTGTTTCTTTGCAGATTTACGAAGAAGGATTTGACTTTGAAAAATCACTTCAAGCTGTGGAAAATTTATCTTCCATTGAGAGGTTTTCAAAATGTTGGATGACAACAGTTGAATAATTTATTCTCAAATGGTAGTTTATTGACTTACTTACTAATTAGTATGGTACATTGACAACATTAGTTAGTTAGATTCAGTGAATTTTATATCAAAAACGGAGTGTGCATGATTCATTTGTTCACATCACCCATGCTAAAAGCTCTATTTCACAGTAGGCTATGTGCGACGTGAAGAAGAGCTTGCAATATCTTTTTAGTTCTCAATTAGGTCATCGAGTAAAGCCTCCAAATCCATTTCTTAATTCATATCTATTTTCTTATGGGTTGTGCCGTACAAAGTTAATCTATTTTTCAAATCAATTTTTATTTTGAATTTTTGTGTTTGTGCTTAACCGAGTCTGCAGTAGAAATGAAGTCAGGTGACGTTGTAACTTCCACCCCCGTTTGTCAAAAGGTGTGTAAAATCTTCATTACACCAATTAAAGGTTCTCATACTATTTCCAATTTTCGGTATCGCACATAAGAAAGGATGGAGTTCTTGATTTTTCATATGCCTTCATATGTCGAATGTCATCTAAATTTAGTTGTAGTTATTTGTTGTAACTTTTTGAAATGGCAGTCTTAGTATTTGCCCACCAATTTTTGTGAATTCCAAACTTTGCTTATAATTATAGTCACGTATAAACTTCCAATTGGATTTGTTCCCCGGCCATACTAATATAATACGAGTTCTTTTGCTTTTATGTAGAAGTAAGAAGATTGTTTTGCCCTTATGTATCCTGCTTCTTTCTGTTCACGAAGTTGCCAAGAAAAAAGTACTTTGTGATCATTTTCTTTTCTTCTTTTATAGTATGGTGATGTGTGCATAAAATTTGTCTTTTTTTCTTTGTATCAACAACCTATTACCCGTCCGTCCCTAAGCATGTTTTGTTAAGAAACTTTTGATTTTTCTTTTGTTTAATTTTTCATCCGATAACATTTAAATCATTACTTTACGTAAAATAAAAACGAAAAACATGACAACTTTTTAGGACGTGCATGGTAAAGAAAAAATTCCTCTTTGCACAATACATTTAAAATATATTTTGACAACTACAATGAAAAAAAAAACTAGCACAATACACTTTTAGAATACACTTTTAGGGCACGTACGTGATGCAAATACGTGATGCAAAAATGCCTCTGGCACGCATGGCGCGCACGTTAGTGCAGTGCGGAGAGGCTAGTATTTACCAAAAGCTAGCGGTACATCTCTCGACGAACCTCCTACCTATGTGAAATCAATGAATCAACGTCCATGGGGCGTTTGCTACGGATGATGGCTCAGCAGTTGTGAGTCAACAAACTGTTGACATTGGCACAGGTTCGGCGCTGGTTGGGGTGGTATACAATCTGGATCAGGGTCTAGGTGGTTCAAGTGATCTGGTTTATCTTCAAGCCCAGAAAATACGCGGAGTCTTCTTATTCCTTAGGCCGGTAGGGAGTTGTCCTCTAGTCTCGTCTCCATCCATCGGGGCCGATTTAACCTCTACGCTACCAGAGAGGATGAAGTGATAGCGAGGGGTGCTGGGAGCGGCTGGTGGCGACGGGTGCTGTGGAGTCGCCTGACAGAACGAATGGGTGGCAATAGTGTGGTCGAATTGGTGCTTGCTGCCGACTTCGCAATCGGTGTATGGGTACCGCTGGCCACCACAATACCACTGCGGGCCAACTGCTCAGTCTGAGCCGAATATGAAGCAGACCGGTGGCTCATGATCTATCGGGGAGCCATCTGCCCAAAAAATACCATTTCAAATATTTCCTAAACTTACATGCATCACTTAACCCAATTCCAATTCAAAAACCCAATTCACGGATTATATTATCACGCAATTCTAATTTGTTGTTGACCCCATTTGATCATAAACCCACAATCCTAATTTCGTTGTAGAGAAGAAACCCCATTTTATCACCTGCATATTCACAGATTCACATACTACCCCAAATAAAACCCCATCCACATCTTCACACACAACCCCACATACAAACCCAATTCATAAATCTATATCATTTTCACAAATTCAATTTAAAAAACCCAAGCATACGCACAAACCCATTTCAATTTCACAATTCCAAAACAAATTAACAAATAAAATGAAATTCAAATAAATTTACAATTGCAGAGTGAGAGTGTTGCTATGTTTGAGAGCGGGGGTCGATGAGAGGGATAGTGAGAGTGAGAGAACTGATAGACCTGAGAGGGAGAGTGATAGTGAGAGTACTGAGACGAGAGTGAGAGTGAGAGTGAGAGTGAGACAGCACTGAGAGGGAGAGTTTAAGAGCAGAGAGAGAGAGAGCTTGAGAGCAGATAGAGAGAGGTTGAAACGGTGAGCAGGAAGATGCTATAAGGTTATAACATAACTCTTACCCAACAAAAGGTTCTTCGGGAGTTCGTTGGGTAGGTCTTTTTAAAATGAGTACATTGTAGCTATGGTCCTTTAATTTTAATTCAATTGGAGTAATGGTCCTTCAACTAAAAATTCATTATCATTGGTCCCTCAACTCATCAAAACGTGCAAATATGGTCCCTCAACTAAAAATTTATTACCATTAGTCCCTCAACTTTAATTCAACTGGAGAAATGGTCCCTTAACTTTAACTCAATTGTAGCAATGGTCCTTCCAACATAACTTGTTTTGACAAAAATTTTGACGTAGTTGACGAAAATGACCATAATTACACACTTTGATGAGTTGAGTGACCCTAATTGTATAAATGATCATTCCAACATAACTTATTTTGACAAAATTTTGATGAAATTGATGAAAATGACTATAGCTACACATTTTGATGAGTTAAGGGACCAATAGTAATGGATTTTTGGTTGAGGGACCATTGCTCCAATTTGATTAAAGTTGAGGGATCGTTGCTACAATTTACTCTCTTAAAATTGCAACACATGTCCGTCAACCTAACTTATTGTTGGGTAAAAGATTCATTCTTCGGGCAAAATTCAAGAAAATTAAAAAAATTTGTTTGGGAAAAAATGGTGGGAAATACTGATTGCCGACGAAATACAAGCAAATTTCGTCAAGCAACTTAAAAATTTGGGGCGAATTTGATTATGAACGAATTTTCAGACGATTTTATTTGAACTTAACCAATGAATTGTGATAATTGCTCGACGAAATATTAATTAATGGACTAGCGAATGATATGGTTCAGTTAGGCAATGTTAAATTTTGGGGCCAATTTGACTTTTAAACCAAATTTTAGGCGGCCTTTTTTTTACTTTAATCGACGTATTATATATATGCTTCCATTGGGCAAAGATTAAAAAAAAAGTGTGAGTGGTGGGAGGGTCCAGAGTGATGAGTTTGTTTCCTAAGGATATCATAGTGTGTGGATGGACGATCTTGATGTAATCTGAGGTGAGATAATTGTGATGGTTTGCATCAGCTATAAGATTTGGAATGATTTTACTATAGCTAAAAGTTTGAAAAAAATTCGATCGTCGTGTAAACTAGCTGTATGTCTGACCAAAAGATACTTGAAAGCCTTACATGTGGAAAAATAACAGAAATATTGAAGAGTATTAATGATAGCGTTATATTGGATGACAAAATTTAGTTGATATCATGTACAAAACCAACCTACATTATATTCTTCAATACCTCCGTTGTTCTTCCACTTGGAAGTCAACATATTAACTTCTGGTCACCACATTCACCGACACAACCAAATTACTCGACTAGCTTACATGACGAGCCTTACTTCCTTTCAAACCACTAGTTATAATATTATAATTCAAATATTAAAGCAACTATGCACGCCCGTAATTAACTCACCGAAGATTGCATCTACATTGCTCTTCCACACACTATGATATCCTTAAAAACAACCCCGTCACTCCAAACCCTCCCACCACTCACGATTTTTTTTTTTCCACCACTCCCATAAATTCTATGAAACTAGTATATATATGAAGAACATACTGATGAGAAAGATGAAGAGAAAGTAAGTTATTTATAGTGGATGAATAGACGAACTTCCGTCAGCTAATTACTGCGTCAGTGGATTTTGTCCCCACGTGAGGTGGATATCTATGACACATCGAAAATACAATTGGACCTTTGACCAATTAGGCTTTATGCGACGGAGCTCTCAGGCAAGTTTTATGTCAGTAGACTCCTCAGGCCTGTGACTGGATGTCTGCGTACATTGGAAAATTAAATTTGACCTATTATCTATTACCCGACTATTATTTTACCCGACGGAGATTCGTCGGGTAATGCCTGTGTCAGTGGATTCCCCTGCCCCTAACTGGATATCTGTGACACATTAAAAAAATAATTATGACCTGTTAGATTTTACTCGACAAAAGTTCATCAGGTAAAACCTATGTAGTGGATTCATGCTAGTGATGGCCATCTGCACCACTTTGTAAAAGGAAGTTGGAAACTTTTGACCAATAGATAAAATCGAACGAATTCTGTCGGGTAAACCCTTTTCCCAACACAAGTGTTTGGCCTTACCTGTGGCTTTATGTGACAATTGGAAATTGGCATTGTATATTTGTGGCACTTTGAAAATTGTATACTCCTTATTCCTATCTAATTAGATATCATATACGAATAGAATCGGTAAAACTAGTTTTGTAGAATTTGTTTCGACGAATGGATTTCATAATTAACACCTGGTCTTTTTTTATATATTTTCATTAATTGGAATGCAAATTTCCAAGAGTCATATGGTTTACAGCTTTACAATCCATAACAAAATATTGAAAATATAGAAAAAAAATTACATGAGATATACTTTGATTTTAGCTATTGCTAATGCTTTGATAAGTTAAAAAATATACCAAACATTTAAAATCAAAGCTCGACTGTGAAACACTTTTAAATCCAATTCTGCTTGAGCTTTACAAATAGTGTTGAGCTTTTTTCTTGAATGGCCTAGCCATAGGATTTAGGGCTTTTCGCCCATTACGATAGTATCCTCCCCTTGTTCTTCCACATGCCAGAAATCCGAGCAACATTGGGTAGTGGGTAAAATGGTGTTGAACTGAAGAAGAATGGGAAAAAGGAGAAAGATGAATAGGAAGGCACAAAGTATAAAGTGGAGAATGAATGTATGGAGGAGAAAAAGAAAGGGGAAGACACAAACTTATAAATTGATGAATAGATCTTTGCTCGATGAACTACTCCGTCTGGCAACTCTTAGGCCTCGTTTGGTACATCGTATAACACACCGGATAGGATTAATTATACGGTAACAGGTGTTTGGTGTCCCCATGTATTAAATAGTCAGCCGACTCAATACTCCAGCCCAACTTATTATATACGGCTAACACCCGCTTAACTATCCTTTCCAGAACCACGGTATTATTTAGTCAGGTTGAAAACATGGCTTTCTCGCTCTCTCTAACTCCCAAGTTCTCCTTCGAATCCCAGGTTCTCCTTATTCTTCTTTCATTTGAATCCTAGGTTCTCCTTCTTCGTTTTCTCCTCCTTCCTCTTCTCTCATCTGAATCCCAGGTTCTCCTTCGAATCCCAGGTTATCATTCTTTGTCTTTTTCCTCATTCTTCTCTCTCATCTGAATCCCAGGTCCTTTTTCTTCTTCTATATGTTCCGCCCTTCTCCTCCTATTTTTCTTCTTCCAGATCCCAAAAAAAAAAAAATGATATGTATGTTGAAAATTGCAAAGATTCTAAATTGGGTATGTTGAAAATTCGAACCCAGTTGAAGAAATGGGTTGAGCGATTTTTATATACTCCTACCATTTGGAATAAAGCTTGATGAATTCATAATATCAATGCTTGTGCTGGTTTGGCTACAGCAAGATCTGGATTTGATGTAATTTCAGTATTGTTCAAAATTCATCATTCATCAATATAATAATATTTTAAAGTCTTTCTTATCCGATAGAGTATCCAACCAAACACAGTATAAATAATACGGTTATTAGTCCGATATTACACCAAACGTCCAACTAATTTAGTCAGTACTATCAGATGATTATTTATTTTATTCGACTGAAATAGTCAGTACAATCCTAGCTACCAAACGAGACCTTAGGAAAGGGTTGAGCAAATTCCATGCTGGTGGAATTTATTACACGTCACTTGTGGACTTTTGACTATCGATAATAGAGATGCCTAACAGAGTTCTTTGTTGGGTAAGTTTATCCTACACGATGAACGGTGGATTCATCGGTTAAAAAATTCCCCTCTTCGCGCCAAAATTTTCTTGACGACTTGTTTCTTAACCTAAGAAATGTGTCAGTTGCTTAAATGCTTTCAGTCGACCCAATATATATGTTGACTGATTTTGCCCTAGTAATAAAATTATCCGTTGGGCAAATACATTTCAATCTACGAAAATATGTCTGTCGGGGTAAGATTTAGTAAGGCAAGCCATAATTTCTAGTAGTGATTATGGAGCCAAATATAATCAAGAAAAATATAGGGGCGACGCAATGATTTTTGGGCAAAAAATACAAGATTACCCTTGAGGCACATCGAGATTTCTATGTGTAAGCAGTGAACAATCATCACTCAATCAAGGTCAAAAGTAATCAGAATAGGTATTTATTCAAACCTATTTCATCAACCCTCATCAAATCTTTCCCACAAGGTAACTCCCAAATTATTTCTTTCAAATTATATTAATTAGCTAATTAATTGATTTATTACTCAATTAATTCATTAATTAGCTAATTGATGGTGATTAACACCAAAAAATACCAAAGGTGGCCGGTTCCCACCTCTCCAAAGGGGGCCAGCCACACCCCAAAAAATACCACCTCATTTTCTCCAAAACCCAATTCCAAGCTTTTGGCAAAATTCTCTAAATTCTCCAAACACTTTTCCCTCAAAATTCTAACTTTGGCATCAGAGGTTCTTCGGCCAAAGCCCCTTCATTCATCGTGGGTGCGTGAGGCTCTTGGCCTTGACCTAAGGTGTTAATTGTTTTTACAGGTGCATTTTCGTCCAAGAACAAGAAGGAAGAAATTTGCATCCATAAATTGGTGTTTTCATTGAGAGCCTTGATTAAATGCTTGTAGAAGACTCTTGCATTCAAGGTTTTTCGTTTTCTTGTTCATTTGTAGATTTTTCGTACGTTCTTATTCTTGGAATTTTTATTTGTAAAAATTCTTTGATAAAATGTAAAAGAAAAGTCCAATGGCAAGAGATTCGGAAACCTCGATGAACGGAAATTCCAACGTTTAAGGATTAGGACCATGATGATCTACAAGACTCAACACAACGATGAGTGGAGCAGCACCACCTTGGCAACCACCACGGTGGCCACCATGGTAGCCACCATCGGCAAGGCCCACAGAGCCACAACCACAGCCTAAGCCATGCCATTCAAACCCACACGGGCCCAAGCCCAAGGCGAGATGGCCCAAGCCA